TTGGTGGGTCGGCTCATTTGTATATTAAATAATTTTCTTGTTTGTTGTCTTCTTGTTTTGTTTTCTGTATTTCTTTCTTGCTTTCTTTGATCGTCTTTGTTGGTTGATATGCTTGTTTCGGTGAGTTTGCGTGCTTCTTTTGCACTCTGTGGCGTGCGTGCGTGCGTGCGTGTGCATGTGCATGTGTGTGTGGCGTGTGTGTGTGTGTGGTGTGTGTGTGTGGCGTGTATGCTTGTTGTTTGTTGTTTGTGATTGTATGTTTGCGCAACGTCAAGACGACAAGCAAACTCGAAAACAAGTAAGCAAACCAACAAAGACATAAACAAACAAACAAAAAAGCAAAGACAGACAAACAAACAGATCAACAAACAACAGGAACAACGAAACAAACACACAAACAAGACTACACGCAAAAGTAAATCAACCAATCAAATAAACAAATAATTAAATCAATCAAATCAATCAAAACAGACCAATTTAAAACAATCAACTCATTCAATCCAACCAATCCAATCAATACATATATCCATCACTCAACGAATCATTCAACTGTATCAACCCTGTAAACATGAACCAGCCCACATCAAACGAACTGCACCGTCTGTGTTTCTCTGATGCAACGTCAAAGGACAAGCCGAGCGTCCAGCGACGTGGCGCACAACACCTTCAGTGTCGACGTCCTCGGCACGGCAGTTTTGCAAGAACGATTCAAGTGACCTGTCAACATCATCCGGTCACTCGTGCAGCATCTTTTCTTCAAAGCCCTTTCGGCGTAAGCTCAACAGCTTTGTTGAAGACGCCTTGGGAGAATGTGAGAATGTCATGGCTCTGAGAAACACATGCCACAAGTTTGGTTTTGGAGCAAGAAATCGGAAACATCGTCATGGATTCCAAAACGCAAAGCCTCCAGAACCCTTCAGGAACCTGCCTGAGCTAGGGCTCGGCCTTCAGGAAAAAACGAGAGGCAGCTTCGCGTTGAGTGGCGGTAAGTTTTCACAAGACAAAAGCTTATGAGGTCACGTGGCCGAGGCGCCACCCGAAGCGACTGCGCGTGGCCGTTGGCCACCATAATGAGCTTGCGCATAGGCCAGCAGTCCACCGGGAGGTAAGCCAGAGGCGCGTTCCAGGTGCTACCTTGAAGGCTTAAACTATCAGCAACAACAAGAACAAACAAACAACACCAATCATAACAACAACTACAACACAGCCAAGAACAACAATAATGACAATACTGGCAAGACAACAACACCGACATTGGCAAGAAAACAGCACTCAACGACGTCAACACTGACAACGACAACAGCAGCTGCTGCAACAGAAACAACAATAGCCACCACCACCAACGCTACCACAACAACAACAACAGCAGCAGCAGCAGCAGCAGCAGCAGCAGCAGCAGCAGCAGCAGCAGCAGCAGCAGCAGCAACAGCAACATCAACAACAACAACAACAACAACAACAACAACAACAACAACAACAACAACAACAACAACAACAACAACAACAACAACAACAACAACAACAACAACAACCAACAACAACAACAACAACAACAACAACAACAACAACACAACAACAACAACAACAACAACAACAACAACAACAACAACAACAACAACAACAACAACCAACAACAACAACCACAACCACAACAAACAACAACACAACAACACAACAACAACAACAACAACAACAACAACAACAACAACAACAACAACAACAACAACAACAACAACAACAACAACAACGACGACAACATAACAACAACAACAACAACACCACAACAACAACAACAACAACAACAACAACAACAACAACAACAACAACAACAACAACAACAACAACAACAACAACAACAACAACTGTTCAGTTCCTTCTCCCACAGCGTTGCCCAGAGAGAGCGCCACTTTTCTCGCTGAGACAATTCATGCCTCAAAAAGGGCGTAGTGCCAATCCCTGCATGCCATGCCTGGCCAAAGCTTGCTCAGCATGGCGCACATTGCAGAACCATATAATCATGCACAAAGGGCTGCAGCATGCCATGTGTCATTGTGGCGCTGCACATTGCAGAACCATATAATCATGCACAAGGGGCTGCAAATTGTTCAGCAGGCCATGTGTCCAAGCGGCGCCGCAAGTTGCAGAGCCATATCATCATGCACAAAACTGCAGTTGTAGAAACATATAGTTTCTGCGCAAAGGGATGCAGTCACTCAAGTTCCCCATATCCAAAATTCAAGGTTTTCTGGTGCGATCATGGAGCATGGTGAGCAACCGGTTTGGAAAGCGCTTGGCGCGGCCCAAGAGGTCCGCATGCAACTCTGACGGAATTCGGTCCCAAGCTTGCAAAATGTAAGCCTCTTTTTCGTACCGTACCACAGATTTCTGGCACTGCCAGCGGCCACGCTTCTGAATCTGCTGTATGGAACGCCGGCGGCAGCACTGGTCATTGCTCGCCCTACTGTGGCGAACAACATGAGGTGTCACGCGGAGAGGCAGCTTTAGCCATTTGCAAGCCTTCTCAAACAAAGTCTCATACTTGCGCACCGGCAGTTGAAACACTGCTGGGCCAAGAGAAACCGTCGAGCCCCGCATGTGCCGAAGGACTTCGTGGAGCCAAGGTCTAGCAACATCACCAACCATGACACTCACATCCAATTCCCCTGTCTTGGTTGTCACACCAGCACACTGAGGCGCCAGCATCAAGCCCCAACACTTTAGGCTGCTAGGCAAGCTTGAAGCTCTCCCAAGTCAAGCATGGCGTCTGCCAGCGCAAGGATGACCTTTTCGGGCGCAGGGACGCGGGCGTTGCCCGGAGCCCGCTTTTTCCAGGCTTTCAAACCCTTCTTGGAATTGCACAAAAAGTCCTTGTCTGGGCCACGATTCCGAAAAAGCTGCAAGCCAAACACAAGGTAGCTTCCGTGCCACTGGTGCAGCCCTTGTTCATACTGCAAGAGAAGGAACTCCGAAACGGTTTTGTCAAGGCTGTCCCGGGCTGTAGACTTGCCATGCGACTTTGCCCATTCCTCAAAGTCTAAAGTGCAGTCTCTGTACCTGGCCAGCGTTGCTTCTTTCACCCCCCGAAGTCTCAGCTTGTCTTGCGCAGCAACTCCTGTCAAATGCTTCAGGCTTTGCTTGCGGCGCTTTGAGCGAGTTTGTTGCCGCTTCCCTGCTGCGGTTGATGGCTGTTGGGCGGCCGGCGCTGCTTGAAAAGGGCCTGCGACTGATGTCTTGAGAACCAAACTCTGGCACCTTCCCTTCTGCAGACCGTCGATGGTTCTCTTGGCCGTTCCCAACCAGCTCTTTGAGGCATTGGCAGACAGTGCCGGAGAAACTTGACGCGTCTGGCGTCGTGGCAAGATACGGAGCCTGCCGGCTTGCAAGCTCAGACCATTCATGCGCCAAGGGCAAGGGGTACTCCCCCGCTGTAGCTCGTCTTGACTTCACTTTAGCGCGAGCAAGAGGAACATGGCAATGGTTCTGCGAACATGTTCGAGCCAGTCCTTGAAGAACCGCGAGATTGGTAAGCAGGGTGGTTGGCCTTTTGCTCAGGCTACCATAAGCGCACATGGGCCATCTGACCATGAAAACTTGGTGCATCGCAAGCAAATCACCAATGAGGGGGAGTTGAAAGAGCCGAGAGGATGCAGGGTTCTCTAGTGAAAAATAGTACCCTTGCCGCACTTGCTGAATAGCCAAAGCAATCGTGAACATTGCGAGCGTAAACGACACCAGCTCCCGGGCTTTGGCCCTGACAGTATTGGTGATATCATGCTTGAGACCAGTGTGTGCAGGGCAACCCGCAGTGGATATACCAAATCTTTCCTTGTTGCACAAGGCGCATCAACAGCCTCTGGGTCGAAGGCCTGCACAAATCGAACTCATGTCCATTGCAAATATCAACAGGCGGAAGGCAAGTCATCCCCAAAGAACTCATTGCAGAAGTCAACCTCCCGCTGCCAGCAAAGATCTCCAAAAAGAACACGGGCTCATAGCTCGTGAGAGGGGTGCAAAGTGTCGGAAAAGTCCCAGGGCGTGCCATGTTCTCAGAGTTGCAAAACAAGTCACGGGTATCAACCTTTAAAGGGTCAGGGCTGTTGCGGCTGTGGCTCTGCTGCTCGGCTGCTAAGACATTTTCTGCATCAAAATTCTGTCCCAGAATGTCTGTGAAGGCAGTCGTGCGCGCATGTCGCGCTCTGCTTCTTGCCATCTTGTCTTGTTTCCAGGGTCAAACCATCGGCTGGGAGCGTCTGCAGCGTTCTTATCGGTGGGGATGTGTCTCAAACGCCACCGGATGCCCATAAAAGTGCAATACGCTGCAGAGCGTCGGACCAACTGATTGAGCCCGAAACTGCTGGATCTTCCCTTGCCGAAAGCCAAAGCGCACACCAGATTGTCAGTAAGAGTGAGCAGGCGAGTGTGAGCATGCGCCCATACTCGGCAATGCCTTCTCAGCCCCATCAGGCAGACGCGGCCTTCTTTCAAATTGATGTGCTCTTGCCTGTGACGCCAGGGTCGAGCCACAAGGAGCTTGTACCTGTCGCTACAGTACCAGCCCTCCTCCAACGACTCGCAAAGCGAAGGCACCTCCACCGTGATTTTTCGGGAGCTGCTGACATCTCCACTCACCCGCACCTGCTTCTTGACAGCGTGGGCTGCGAGCGCCTGCCGCGCTTGCTGCCCGTACTGCGTGCTGACACCAGTGGCGCAGCTCGGGCTCTGACTACGAGCGCTGGTGCTGCAGTGCGTGACTTCTCCATCTGGCACTGCAGCATCCGCTTCTATGAATCTCCATCTCTCCTGAAACTTCATGGCAGACTTGACTTCCTTCTCAGTTCCTGCTGTCTCCATCAAAGAAACCCATATGTTGAGCTGTCACCAAGATAAGCCGCTGGGTGATACACAGCGCCCAAATCCGCCTGGTTCAGGAAGATGAGGCCGAAAACAACCCTCATCTCAAGCCGCACGCTTGGCCAAACCAAGCAGCGCTTGCCAGAACAGGCCTCAATGAAGCGATAGCAAGCATGAATTGCCGACATGTTTTGCCGTGACAACTGAAAATGGTGAACCACATGCCCAACCCAGACTCGGAGGATTTCTCCGCGAATGCGCCCTCTCCTCAACAAAGCCCGGGTAGCCAAGTATAATCTCCAACATCGTGCTCTTCTGTGAGTGATTCTCCGCCTTTGCAAATCAAAGACGAGGCCCAGGGTTTCGAACTCATCCAAAGCATTCTCGCCAGAAACAACAAAGGGGATTCCCAATTCTTTGAATCTTCGAACAATGCCTTGCATGCGCTGATCCACGCTGGAAGCCGAACCACCAATGACCTGCAAGTTGTCCACATGCACCCCTACAGCCGGCACGTCAGGCCGCACTTCGGGCAGGATGGCTTTGTCAAGCACGATGTCATCGATGCGCTCCGCCTGCCAAGGACGCTTGGTGCATGACAATGGACTGGGCAAGGTGAAGAGCCCAGCTCCACCCCATACAGACGCCCCTGAAGCAAGGGATCAGAACCTCCCCTGGCGCTACCGGCGTCCAATTGCCGACAACGTTGTCAAAAATGGTGCGGGGACATATGCCCAGTTGTTCCAAGCGTTCCGTTGGAAAAGCATCAGATGTGGCAAGCCAACTTGCTAACTCTTCAATGCTGAAGTTGTAAAAGCAATCGCCAACATCACCTTCATTGCCCTTGCAACCTGTCCGTGGAGCTGCTGGCCCGAGATCGGGGTCGTGAGGGCCAAAGACTTCGCCAAAGCCTTGCTCTTGCAGATTGTACTCCGACAAGTCCAAGCCGCCAAACGCAGCCGGCGTGGACAATCTGGTCGAGGGCGGCCTTTTGTGGCACTTGTTGGCTTGCCTGGCGTCACAAATCAGCCGCTGCATTCCGTCTTTCTTGCGGACGACAAAGAAACCTATCAGGGCCTTGCGTCTCCTCCTAAACGTGAGCAAATTGGATTTCCATAGCCGCTGATACAGGTCCTCGCGCCTAGCAAGGGAGGACTTCAGACGGGGGTCCCAATGCGGCTCCACACCCAAGCCACTGGGGTAGAGCGCAGAAATCTCCTCTTCGGAACGCTCAATGAACTGCTTGTAATGCCTCAATTGGTTCTCAACTTCTGGAGAGTACA